TGTCCAAAAACGGTCCGGTCCGGGTCCCTGATAAAGTTGCTGAGTTTTTATAACTACTTTAAAAAGCAGTAGGTATTGACCATGATACAAGGAAACGTGGTATGCCATTGCGCATGGTAGCGAAGATATCCACTTGTTTCAATGTAATTTTGAGGAGCGCGTTCGCGTTTTATTAAATTTACAAAATTGTCATAATTTTATGACGGCCGATTTATTAAAACTGATTGTGAGAGAAAATTGGTTTGAGGTAGTATTTCTACGGAATTGTATTTTGTCATTGTGCCAATGTATTTTTTAAACTATATGTATATGCAGCGCAAATAAAATAATTATTGTTTTTTGTTACCTATTATTTTAAAAATAATAGAAGTTAAAGTTATAAACACGGTGTTTTTATTAAAATTTGACAACGTAGAGGTTGTATACATGTAGAACAGTTTTTTCAAATAAATATTTTTATTTAGGCTTTTGTTTTAGAATTATAAGTTCGATATATCGAACTTCTTTTATTTTTACATAAACCTTTTTATCTCCGTTATTTATAGCCGGATTTTAAAAGAATTAAGTTTCTTGCAATTTTTAATTTAATTTCTACAATTTTTGTGTTAAACATTTAAAAAATATATTGATATTGATTCAACGAACGAAAATAAAAATGTTTATGTTAAATCAAAATAAGGTTGATAATTCAAAAATAAAAGCTGTAATGCTTAAAGTGATTCCCTCCAACTTCCATGCAATTATTGCATTATATTATATATTATAGTAGTGACGTTGTTCAAAATAACAACTGTCAAAATGACAGGTGCCAAAATGACTGTTAAAATAACAGTTTTTCTTAGAACCACGCAAGCAAAGCCGCGGGTATACAACTAAGGAATTAAACTTTTTTATTAATATTAATAAAATGGTGATTCATAACTTTTATAGAGATAGTAATCCAAATTTGCTCCATGAAATCCACACATTCGTTGATTTACAATTTTTTTGTTTTTCTTTTAAGTTGAAAATTCAAATAGGAATTTCTCGAAAACTAACTGACATATTTTTAAAACAGAATCTTATTAAGAATTAAAAGACCTTTAATAAGATAAGTCACTCAACAATTTATGATTTTGGCGACGGGCGGGGTGGAGCGCGTAGGGGGCGGGTGAGGGCGTGAATCGTAAATTAAAATTCGTCCCCCTAGAAATAAAACGTGACGTGTCCAAGGACCCATTGACCCGTTAAAACGTTTGGGGGTTACAAGTTTTCTTTGGAACACCCTGTATATTTTTTCCAAATCTGGTTTTTGAAGCACATAATCTCCAAAAACTAAATTAAAAAAAAAGATTTAATTTATGTATAACTTTATAATGTTAGCTGTTACCTTTTATTATAATTTTTACACATAGCCACAGCACAGTAAATTAATCCCACACACAAATAATTATAAAAACACAATACAAATAATAAATTTAAATATCTTACACTTATATATAATACTAATACACACAATTATCTCTGCTAATAAAATAATAATAACATTAAACATACTAATAATTACTAATTAAACACAATAATATCATTAAAGACTGCATCAGCAATTCAAATATCTAGTTTCGATTGACGAATGTGACGTACGTGGAGGACGAAATTTGGTTTCAATAGTAGCATACCATTTTTCTTTTTATCATGGTATTGACCATAGCCTATGGTCAGTATACTATAGTAGTAAAAAGACGGTAAAATGCCCGAAACAAATAAAAATTCAGCAACTTTTAATAAAAAAATATATGGAGTTACTGCTCTTTATGCACGGCAGAATAGCGGTCACCAAAGTTTTTAAATTTTATTGTTATTATTAAAGTTTTCAATACGATTGTAATAAATGTTTTTATTTTATTTTTTTTATTTATTACTACATTATTAAACTTTGGTTAATTATATTTTTAAAGAAAATGCTGGGCAATAATTATCGAAAGATTTAGGATGCCTCTGGGTCCCAGAGTCCGAAACTGTACAATAATGTATGATAATTTCAGCGGCAGTTTAAGGTAATTTTGTTTAAGGCCATTCAAATCTCTGTTGTTTAGGCTCCATGTTATGAGGCGCCGTTTGTGTCAAAATTAAAAGTGCTAAATAAACTTATTTTGTTTTATGAGTATGAGTATGAGTATGAATATGAGTATGGGAACGTATGGCAGGCCCCAGATATACCTATTGTCATTCACTAATCTCCCGGGGTTATTTTACCCCCTTTCCGTTCTCCTGCGTATCCCGCCAAATCACAGCATAACCTGTGTTTGTTGGATCCGAAGTTTTTACGCCGGCTGGTAGTTCCACCCTAGGAGGTTGTGTATGACAGTGTCAAAGGTTAAGGCCGCTCCCGGAATTTTTGTCAGCCGGGTCGGGCCATACGTCCAGTTTAGGAAGGGTTTTTGGAGGACATTGAACTGACCCAAAACTAAGTACAATCCGGAATCCTCCTCAACCTAGGCCTTAGTAGTAACCCCATTCAATTGGTATTCGTGAATGGGGGTGGGTATGTTAGTTCTTTGCTTACTCCGGCTACCAACCTTGTATACTCTTTATTTATTTTATTGCTAAATTAGTGTTTATACCGTTTTCATTTAATTTATCTTTGCATTCTTACTGACATTCAAACTGACAATTCGTTAAATCCTAAAATTCATTATATTTTCTCACTAAATATAACTAGTGCTCCTGCGGACTCGTGAAATCTGCAGCTCGGTTTCAATTCGAAAATATCATCGATGATAATCATATCACTTGTTATATTATGGGTGATGATATAATTTTAAATCTTTTAAACATTGTAAGCAGACAGTTTGTTAAATTTAACACTTTAACCAGGGGCGAAGTGAACGGACTGGAAAGTTGTGTAACACCCAACAATTTTTCTGTAGTTAGTATTTTTCGAGGTTCCGGTAATATTTCAATATTTGTGTCAAGTTTGATAAACGCCATTTTATAAAAGAATTTAAATTACTAAATAAACTTATTTTGTTTTATTAATAATTAATTATATGCTTTATAAAATTATTATTATTTTTGATTCGCAGAAAATTATTTTATAAAAAAATAATTTTATAAAAAAAAAATATTTTATAAAAAAATAATTTTATAAAAAAATAATTTTATAAAAAAATTATTTTATAAAAAAATTATTTTATAAAAAAAAATTATTTTATAAAAAAATAATTTTATAAAAAAAAATTATTTTATAAAAGACGACGGGCGCATTTATAAATTAATTTTTACTGCAGCCATCTCTATTTGTTTGTAGACACTCGAGTAAACCCCTAAGGTCTTAGGTAAACCCGAACGCCCCTCCCAGATACAATTTTATGACGGACTGGGCTTTTGTTTGACGCAATTTAGTGAAACGATTGAAAATAATAATTTATTATTTTTATTAATTAATTAATTAATTTTTTTATGTACATTTATTTTGATTTTTAGTTTTTAACAAGAATTCTTTATGTTTATACGGTTTTTATAAGAAAGCACTTTTAGTTAAATGCAAAACAAATAATGATTTACACCTTTAACTAATAATTATTTGTTTAAATCTATAAACTTTTACGGGAGGAAGGGAGAAAGGAGGAAGGCATCTTTAAATTAGGCTTTAGGCACCAACAAAATTCGCATGCGAGTCCCGGGGACTTAAAGGTTAAGTTGATTTACTTTTAAAAATTCAGATACTTAAAATGTTTCGTAATCACTTTTAACAGTTAATTATTAGTTAAAGGTGTATATCATTATTTGTTTTGCATTTAACTTATAAAAAACGTTTAAACATAAAGAATTCTTGTTAAAAACTAAAAATCAAAATAAATGTACATAAAAAAAATAATTAATTAATTAATAAAAATAATAAATTATTATTTTCAATCGTTTCCCCAAATTGCGTCAAACAAAAGCCCAGTCCGTCATAAAATCTGGGGAGGGGCGTTCGGGTTCACTCGGGTTTACTCGAGTGTCTACAAACAAATAGAGATGGCTGCAGTAAAAATTAATTTATAAATGCTCCCGTCGTCTTTTATAAAATAATTTTTTTTATAAAATTATTTCTGTTTAAAATAATTTTTTTTATAAAATTATTTTTTTATAAAATTATTTTTTTTTAAATTACTTCTTTATAAAATTATTTTTTTTTTATAAAATTATTTCTTTATAAAATAATTTTTTTATAAAATTATTTTTTTACAAAAAAAATTTTTCATAAAATTATTTCTTTATAAAATAATTTTTTTTTATAAAATAATTTTTTTATAAAATAATTTTTTTTTTATTCGAATCAAAAATAATAATAATTTTATAAAGCATAGGTATAATTTTTTATTTATAAAACAAAATAATTTTATATAGCACTTTTAATTTTGACACAAACGGCGCCTCATACCATGTTCTTTATTCTCGTAACTTTTTGTTCACGACATAGTGCGACGATTGGACGACGCCCACTTGGACTGTTTTTATTTCAGTGATAAATTATGCTAATTACCTACTTATTGCCGTGTGTTATCAACGTTAAAATAATATAAGTAGACAAATAGGAAGATAATGAAATTTAAATGAATGAAAAAGGAAAAACAAGTGTGGACAAAAAATTAAAGTCATAGTGGTAGAAAAAACACATAAATTAATATTGAAATAAACTGTTAACAATAAGAAAATGTATTGATGATATAAGGAATGAGATTCTCTTAATTGAGACCCTTGATCATATAATTCTTTTTAACACGACAAGCTGGCCAAATAGTAAGTAAGCTAAAGGTCATTACCCCTGAACACAGGTATTGCTTCTTTATCTCTGGCTCTGTGTTCAGATTTATGAAGAAGAAGAACGTTAAAATGGAGTCCCTTGTTACATATTTTGGATTTCCGCGAAGCTAATGTTCTATGATCCAATGATGACACAAATTTGTTTGGTTATGGAGGTGTTGACAGCTGACTGTTGTTGATTAAAGTGGTACTGTTATTATTAAATAAAAATGAATTCTGACAGCGAAAACGAAGGACATTACGGTGGCGAGGGGGAGTGCGATCTAGCGAAAACGAATAATGTAAATACAATAAACCTTTTACCTGAGAAATCAAAGAAAAAATATGAGGCAACATACAAAAACTTTCTTGACTGGAGGGCACGCCATAATTTAGATTCATTTTGCGAAAATATAGTATTGAAGTACTTTGAGCAATTATCAGAAAAATATAAATCATCCTCTCTGTGGGCACAATATTCGATGTTAAGAAGCACCTTAATTATAAATAACAATGTAAACATAGAAAATTATAGAAAACTAAAAGATTTTTTAAAATATAAATCTCAAGGGTATACAGCAAAAAAAGCAAAAACGTTTAGCCAAGAAGAAATTAACAGGTTTATTAATGAAGCACCTGATGAAATATACTTGGCCACAAAGGTAAACTATCTAACAAACTTAAAATATCAAGTTTTAAAGTAAGTAATTTGTTTAAGGTGGCATTGATTATGGGTATAATGGGAGGTTGCCATGCCAATGAACTGCATTCCATGGCTGTGGAGGATTTGCAAGACTTTGGTTCTGCTATGTTAGTATCAGTTCCCAACAACAAGACTAAGATCGATAGGAAGTTTATTTTAACTGGTCAGTTTTACGAAGTTTGTAAGAAATACGCAGAATTGCGACCATTGCACACAGAAACTTCGTCGTTTTTTCTAAATTACCAAAAAGGAAAGTGTACCATTCAAAATATTGGTATCAATAAGTTTGGTAGTATGGGAAAGCAGATTGCAAGGTACTTAAAGTTACCAAACCCTGAGGAGTACACAGGGCATTCTTTTCGAAGATCATCTGCCACTTTATTTAATGCTAGCAGAGGTATTTCGTCCTTTAAACAAATGGGTGATTGGGAACCCAATCATATACCCGAGGAGTATTTAGAAGAACCCATACCAGTTAAAGTGGATATGGGTGATGACTCCACATTAGAAGATTTTATGGATGAGTCAAAGATTGACATGTCTTTTGACAACATAAAGAGTGAGATACAAAGCACAAGCAGTCACACGCAAAATATAACAGCCTCCAATGAAACATTTAATTTTGACGTTGGTTCTCAACCTGCAATTAATTTTATCAATTGTTCTAATATTACTATTAATTTTGTTAGAAAAAATGATAAGTGAGAAATTTATTAAATTATTTATTTTATTAAGGAGTTTTATTATATCAAGGTGGCCTCAGAATGGGAATATGATCATAGTACTTGCCTTGAAGTATTTAACAATTTTAAGCAATTTGTAGTACAAACATTTCTTAAAAACAAGCAGTTCTTCAAGAATAAAAAAAAGAATCCTTTGGACATGACCATGTTAACAGAAAAATATTGAAAAAACCTGTACCAGAAATTCATAAATACATCTTAAAAATTTATGCTTAAAACACCAATACCTTCCTACAATAGTTATTTATTGATTATCTAGATCCTTTATGAATATACAAGGTGTTCCTAAAATTAGTGGCATAAATTTGGGAAAATATTAAGCAAGTCAAAATTTATTGATTATCTAGGTCCTTCATGAATATACAAGGTGTTCCTAAAATTAGTGGCATACATTTAGGAAAAGATAAGGCAAGTCAAAATAAGAAGAAAACCTAAATAAATATTTTTTTCTACCCTATTACGGAATATGACCGTTTTAACATCACTTTTTAATATGGAATTGCATACATATCATCGGATGACGGAATAATAACTAGTGGCGCCATGTGTTTATTATTAAGTTTTAGACAGATCAAACCTCACTTTTTCCCAATTAAAATATTTTTTGGAAACGTACATAAAGTATAGTTTGAAACACATTAGGAATTGCATATTCCGTTCTTGTGAAACCTTCAAACTCGCCTTCGGCTCGTGTCACAAACTCGAGCTGAATAGCCGCATTCCAAACTTGTTACAGAATATACTATTCCTAATCCCAATAATTCTTTATGTTTCCAAGATACAGGGTAATAAATGTTACTTATAATCAGTTTTTTTAATATAACTTCTACTATGGTGGACTTGGAAAGGTGATATTTTGAGAACATGCACTCACTACCAATTTGCATATTCACACATAATTTCAATTGTTTAAGTGAACACAGTGTCGTAGAAACGGGGGTTGCTTTAAGGTTTTTGTCCCATACAAACTTTAGGTTCTTATAAGATTTGATGCTATTTTTCGATTAACATTAACAGTTAACTGCCACTGAATTTTAGTTTAATGTGATTTAGATTTATTTTTAAAAAATTGGGGGGAAGGGATGGAAAAACGTTTTTTTGGGGGTTTTTTACATTTTCTGGACCACTGTGCCGCGCCGCATTAAAGCATAGTTGAATGTGTGGCACTACATATGTGCCTCAGCGCGGGGATGTACATTTTTAGTGTGGCACAGCGCGTAGCCTTACGGAAGTTTACGAGTTAACACGTTAACTGCTGTAACCTTATATTATATTATATAAAGTTGGTTATTGTTTACTCTAATACGTGTAAATTTATAAATGTAAGTAATTCTTTTATATGTATACCTGACCCATGGACCAGGGTATTGAATAAATAAATAAAAATGTTTAATGAAAAACTTTGAAATTTTACAGTTTTTTCTCTACATAGCTTAACTGACAAAACAACAGTGTATACTGATCGGACAAGCAGCGGAGCGGGTGATTAGCTCGGACTGGGTTTTGGTTGCGTCGCCGTAGACGCCCTAACCCAGCTAGCATTTATGATTTCATATTGACGTCAGAATAAAATCAGACGTGAAAATCGTTCGTCACGTCTGTCGAGAATCTGACGTCAGTAGCGCATACGCGAATGTCAGCAATATGAAGTCAGACTGAAATCAGATGTGATTTTTGTTACTGCTGACGTTGGCTTTGAAATCATACTGATGTCAGAATGAAATCAGATGTGATTTTGTAAAGAGACCGGTAGAAACCGGTAGAAAGAAAACTTTAAAGAATAAGTAAAATGAGTCGAGATTTTTGGTCCCGCTGACGTTGGCTTTGAAATCATACTGTTGTCAGAATGAAATCATACTGTTGTCAGAATAAAATCATATGTGATTTTGTAAAATGAACAGGTAAAATCGATTAATCAAATAATCGATTAATAGAAAAAAACGATTATTTTAAATAATCAATAATCGAAGTTAAACATCGTCTACCATGTCATTTATAGTTTGACGTACGTTAAAGTATAAATGATATGGTAGACGATCACAAGTTTAACTTTTGAACGGGAACAGTAAAGGCCAACGGCAATTAATAGGTCAATAAAATTTGATTGCTGAAAAGTTAATAATTATAATTAATTATACCCAATAAAATTTAAAAATAAATACATTAATTTTTAAATTTTATTGCAATAAAACCATTTGTTTCCTGAAAAAAAATTCCAGTGAAGGAGGAAATCTTAAATTGCTATAAAAAAATTAAAATAAAATACCAAATTTTTTTTTTTTTAAATTTAGGTATTTACAAAAAAAAAGATTTCTTAAATCTGGCGCAATTTACCTGGCGCCATTCCTCTATGGTTGAGTTAGAACTTAAAATTATACTGAAAATCATATGTGATCTCATACAGACTCCAGTATAAAATCAGGCGTGCTTTGAAACTTAGAATTAATTATACTGAAAATCATATGTGATATCATACAGACTCCAGTATGAAATCAGGCATGCTTTGAAACTTAGAATTATACTGAAAATCATATGTGATCTCATACTGACCTCAGTATGAAATCAGGCGTGCTTTGGAACTTAGAATCATATTGAAAATCATACGTGATCTCATACAGACCCCAGTATGAGAACAAACATGATTTTGAACTAATATTCGCGCCCGATCGAAACTCACGTGGGTATGCATACCCATAACCATGGTTGTTTATTTGTATTTGTCCCATTGTGTATAGTCCTTCGTAGGGGACTTTAAGCCGGAAGTCCGTTCCTACCCCTTACCCGCACAAGCTATAGCTTGTGCGGGTAAGGGGTATTAACGGACCGCTGGCCTAAAGTCCCCTCGACGATACACAATGGGACAAGCACAAATAAACAACTATACCCTATAGATTACATTACATTACATCTAAACGAGAACTATATATAAGCTATAGCTTATAAGCTTAAATAAAATTAGCTTGTAAGCTTGGAACTTATGGAATAGGTACCCTTAACTGAAAATCATGCCTGATCTCATACTCACCCCAGTATGAAATCAGGCATGATTTGGAACTTAGAATTTATATTGAAAATCATGCGTGATCTCATACCGACTTCAGTATTAAATCATACCCCAGTGAACCAAACCGTGACTTATGACCTAAAATTTACGTAACACGTAGATCATATCTAGGTAATTCAATTTTTACGTCATAGTGACATAATACTGACCCAAAACGTGACTTTTATATGATGTAATTAAATGACTTACATATTACGTACATCTTATGTAATATTAAAGTCATATCGTGACGTAATATTAAAGTCACTTTTCTTACGTAAGACTGACATAAGAAATCTGTCATAATATTACATAACTTTTAGGTCACTGTCTTACGTAAGACTGACGTAATAAATCTGTCATAATATTACCTAAGTTTAAGGTCACTTTCTTACGTAAGGCTGACGTAAGAAATACGTCATACTATTACATACGTTTTAGGTCACTTTCTAACGTAAGACTGACGTAAGAAATCTGTCATACCAGTACATAAGTTTAAGGTCACTTTGTAAGGTAAGACTGACATAAGAAATCTGTCATACATATTATTTAGACGAACTAGATGCAAAAGTAATTTCAAAGTATGAAATTCACTGTATTTTAATGTTTGAATTAAACTAATTTCAATGAATGGACTTTTATTTTTAATGAGTGAAATAGGCAAACATAATTTTTATTTTTTATTGATTGAAATGGTTAATTCCAATCATTGAGTAAAATAACGTAAGTAAATTCTATTAATTGAAATTGACGCCGATTATTTTAAACAATAAAATCAGTGGATACTTTTCCTTACCAATCAGTTTAATTCAAACATTAAAATACAGCAAATTTCATATTTTGAAATTACTTTTGCATCTAGCATGATGAAAGAACTAACGCGAAGTTCCTTGAATTTTTTGGCTACTTAGTACTTGGTCGATTAAATGAAAATATGGTTTAAAATCAATAAAAAAATAATGTATCTTAATTTAATATGTAATAAACATCATATAGATTTTTATGATTCCGGTTCCTACTGCTTTATGTGAAAAATCATGTAGGTACCTACTCATAATCATGGTTGCAAGTACTTGCAAGTACCTACTTATTTTTTAAATTGTAAAAAATTATCAACAAAAGATTTACGTGTTATTACGTGTTAACGTGTTATTTTTGTATTGTATGTTACTGTTATTATTTTTTGAAAATTTTTGAAAATGGCGCTTTTGGTGAAAGTAGAATTTTTTTGTTCCACCCTGTACAATCGAAAAAATAAGTAGTTACGCTTTAAAAGACCTGAAATGATATTTCACTCACTTCAAATTTTTTTAAATGTGACCTTGGCAGTACGACGTCATTTGTTTTTTTTTAATCCATGCATGTCAAAAAATGTTACCTATTAAAATACTAAAATTTTAAATTTTTAAAATAAAAATAATTTTTAAATGTTGAATATTGTCCCTAGCTATAGCTATAGCTACTCATAAAAAGCGATTTTTGTTTGTTCTTACTTCTGACATACCCTGTAAAGAATCTGAAAAATTAGTAGTTGGTTTAAAATCCATTGTGAGTTGGTTTTGATCAGCTTCATAAATTAGATAAAGTATCAGCTTGCAATAAATACCTTTTCGGTAATGATTCCATTTCCCATTGAAAAAAATGTGACCTTTTTACAGTACGACGCCATTTAAAAAAAATTTCAAAATTGGTTTAAGTCAAAAAGTAGTACCCAGAGTACCCTTGTCTCTGGTAGTACCTATATATTTAATGCCTTGTTTAACATACTAAAATTTCAATTTCCAAATACAGAGGTTCAAAAAATAAAACTAAAAAAAAATAATACAACCAAATTTAAAGAATTTAATATTATAATATAATATGGTATAATTATATATAAATATAATACCTATAATAATAGATATGTATTTGCACAATAT